GATCAGACCGTGACGGCATGTCAACTTGCATGGCAATATCTCCTTGAACATCCAGAGGATCTCGGTGCGACTCCTGACCAGGAGTTACCAGCTTCCATTTGGCAGCTACCAGCTCTGCGCGAGCTTCAGGTTTCCACCCGGGCCATCACTTTTGCATTCTTTCAGTGTTGCTTTGAGGCGCCTACTTCTAAACCTACCCGCATTCTAACTCATCTCACGGCTTTTGTCGAGCAGCCTCCACCTTGTGCTTCATGGCCACGCTTCGACTCCAACGATCGCTACGTGGGGCCGTTGCCGCCACGTTGCCCGCATGGGAGGCACGACAAGGTACTTGCAGGCCGTGAGGGCAGCCACTGGGCAACCGAGTCATCGGCAGCCTTTCATCCTTTGCTGTGTGAGTGGTTTGCACATGCTGTGCTCGCTTCCGCTTCGCATGGGGGACTTGGGTCAGCATCGCACAGCTCCGCTCCAGGCGAGGCAGGTCAAGTTCAGGAGGTGCATCAGGAGTCACGTCAGGAGTCACGTGAGGTACCGCAGGGTTTGCCGCAGGAGGTGCATCAGGAATCACACGAGGTGACGCAGGAGGTGCATCAGGAGTCACATGAGGTGCCGCAGGGTTTGCTGCAGGTGGTCTCCGATAGGATAGAGGCGGTTACAGATAGGGTAGAGGCGGCTGGTTTGATCGAGTCGGAAGCCCCTCCAACCACTTTGATGCCGTCACCAGATCCTTCGGTGCAGCCGCAGGCAAAGGCAGGGTTAAGAAACATGTCGAGGCAGAGGAGTTTGCACGCTTCATTTCTTCAGCGAGGGCTCCGACTCGGGCCGAGGTTCATGCTCTCTTCAAACTGCTGCCGCATGAGACTCCGCCGAGGTCGGCGGTGTCCTCCAATTGGGTTCCCAGCAGCTTTTCGACAGGCTTGTACAGGAAGGGTGGAGGCTTGATCGGTCTCAGGTCCGCGTGCAAAGGTTTCCCGGCTTCCACTGAGGCATTGGCCACATTCGTGCACAGCAACATGCCTGGGCACCCTTTTACCACGATTAGCCTTTACCTTAACACTGGTACAAAACCCAATAAAGATTCCAAGAATGCCCCTTTGCCCAACGGGATAATCGGAGTTACGGACTTCAGAGGAGGTGAGATTTGGGTTGAGGCCCAGGGCGGTGAGTCTGTTCAGATAGTGGACGGTAAACGCTTGAGTGGTCACCTGCTTCCGATCAGTGAGAAACCCACGTACATACATGCTTACCGCGATCTTCACCTCACAATGCCCTGGAAAGGTAAGAGATTAGTCATCATAGCTTTCAGTGTTTCGGAGCACACTCAGGCACGCGATGAGGATCTCGCACTTCTTGGCGAGCAGGGTTTCGTCCTTCCGGGTGAGGAGCACAGTGTTGATCCTGAGGCGGTCCATTCGGATGAGTCGGAGGTGCTGGAGGGGGGCGAGGCCGAAAGGCCGGAGCCCTTTAAGCATCAGGAGTGCCACAACATCGGGCTGCCTTTGAGCCTCGAGTGGGACGGCAAAACTCAACCGATCACGGATGGCTTTGGGCTCTGCTCGCCTACTAGGTGGCCTCCTGAAGCCAGGGGAGGCCTGCTGCCCAAACAGGCTTTGGAATTTGCTACTGCCATGCATCAAGTGCTTCGCGACTTTGTGGCCGAAGTTGTGCCTGATGTCAGGCGCACGGCTATATGGAGCTTGCACTAGGCCGCCTTAAGGAATCACCTTTCTCGCCAGAGATGTTAGGGGGCCTTAGGAAGGAATGGTTTAATTGCATAGAGGCTGCTTCGGGAGGCAAGTGCACGGATCTTGATGTGATGCCAAGTGGCCAACCGTTCTTCTTGCATGCCGTGTCAGCGACAGCGCGGCTGTTGCAGGACCCAGATTGGAAAGCCGGTTCTTGCCAGGAGGACTCCTATGTCAGCGGGGTCGCGATCGGGTATGATTGCCCAGCGCCTCACTTGCCACAGGTGTACGAATACAAATACAAGTCCCGCAAGCTCGATGAATCGGATGCCGAGTGGCATCGTGAGAGCTATTCGTCGGCGAACGAAACATCAGATCAACTTGAAAAGAAGTTTGCAGAGGAAGAGGCTCTTGGGCGTATGGCGCCCTCCACTTTACCTGTTCTTGAGCAAAGGTACGGGCGGGATAGGGTTAGGATAGCATCTTTAGGTTCCTTGATCAAGCCAGACGGCTCCGCGCGGCCATTGCACGATGGCACACATGGAGTGCATGTCAACAATGGTATTAGGCTACTTAATCAGCAATCTAATCCCGGACCCCAGGAAGTAGTTCACCTTGTGCGTAGTGGCGTAGTGCTAAGCAGAGTCAGGAGGCTACGTTTTGCATCACCGGTGATGTTACGGCGGCTCACCGGTTGTTCCTTGTCAGAGAGGCCGACTGGCCTTTGTTGTGCTGTAAGGTTCGCAGCGACACGCCTGTAGTATGGTACAACAAAGTAGGGACGTTCGGTATTTCGTCATCCGCCTTCCTCTGGTCTAGACTCTTCGGAATCATTGGCCGCTGCACAGCACGCTTTCTGTTGAACTTGTGGTTCTATCACCTCGTCTTTGTAGATGATGTCCACGCCAACTTCGCAGGAAGGGAGAAATTTCATCATTTACTCATGTGGCTAGCGTGCTTCGAGATGTTTGGCACCCCTTTTGCATACAACAAGTTCTGTGGTGGGCTCACTTCGGCCTTTGTGGGTTACGCACTTTCTTATCCCGACCAGAGGGTTGGAATTTCGGAGTCGCGGGGCCAATGGCTCTTGAAATGGATCGCTGAGGCGCGGTCCTCGAAGTTTGTGGTGTCGGTTCGCAAGTTTTCTGAATTCTTAGGTAGACTAGGCTTCGTCGCTCGGCTTTTAGTTTGGCTTAAGGCTCACTTGGCACCGCTTTACAGCTGGAGGGCTGCGGTGAACGACAGCTCAGTCGCTCGGATGCCCGACACCGTTATCCTTACTCTTGAGTATCTTGACCTCACGTTCAGGGACATGACATTCAAGGTTGCCGCGGCCAGGTTAGTCAAGAGAGCAGGCGTGGCCTTCCGCACGGATGCAAAGTGTGCAGACGGGTATGTGGTCCTTGGGGGCTGGGAATGCTCAGGCACAACCCAGGAGTCCAGGTGGTTCTCACTTCGACTTACTCCTTCAGAGGCCCCTTACCTCTTCGACTCAGAGGGTCATAGTCAGTGGGCTTCAGCATCGGCTGAACAGTTGGCCACGCTGGCCGCCTTGCACATCTTCGGTCACCTTGAAGCCGGGCCAATTAGGCGCTTGATGACGGTAGAGGTGTTAGCTCAGACGGATAATAAGTCTAACGAGGGCCTTACCCGCAAGGGCTCGACAACGCGTTGGCCATTACTCATGGTGAACATGCAGCTCACTCATGTTCTCATGAAGCCCGGGGACGAAAATCAGGAAGCCGATGATTTAACCAACGAAATCTTCGACCGTTTCTCTGAGGAGTTTCGGGTTCCAGTGCAGTACTCCGAGTTGCCGCTTTCCTTTCTTCACTCGCTTTACGAAGTCAGGCTTGCACAGTTGGGCGCCCGTGAAGCGGAGTCCATCCGTGACACGGTCGGTGGCAGGCCACGCTTCAAAGGCAAGAGAAAGAGAGAGAAGTCTCCCTGGTGACGTGCCGGCCTGCGGAGGAGGGCAAAGGCACACAGGTGCGCCTTCCGACACGTCGAAGACCGAGATAATTAGATGCCTGCGTGAGCTTGCCGCCGCTCGTTTGGAAAACACTCTGTGGGCGTGTGCTGCGGTTCCTCGCTCTATATATATTGAAGGAAGCTCTACTATGAGGAATGTATACTCGATTGGAGTCTGCAGGAGCAAGTCGAAGATAAGAGCATTTATACCCCACATAGATATTCGGGGATACCGGAGGTGCATTTATATTGCCGTTTGTTATATTCACCTTTGCCCAGTATATCTTTTGGGCAATAAAATTTTGGCAAGAAGAACTGAGTTTTGAAAACTTCGCTCACAGCACCCTTTCCTAAACAACAGGACGAATAAGGAGAACAGTCGACTATGCAGCTGAAACGATGCTGGTCGTCTTACAGCACGGGAGGGTTCTTGAAGGAGCCGCCCTGGCACTTTGCCCACTCGGTGTCGTGGTGAAGGAGGTCGGCGCCATACGAGGTCTCGGCGGCAGTTCGGCAATGTTGGCACGTGCCGCATCGTCTGCTCGTCGCAACGAAGCAGTGAACCTCGTCCTCTCGCCGGTCGACTCGGACACCGCACGCTTTTGGGGCCGTGCTGGCTTCTACCCCTTGCACAGCGGGTGGCTTGCCTACAACCGTTGCCCCCAGCAAGCTGAGTTGGCCGCGCGGCTTCACCACGAAGCTGACGCCCGCCTTTCGATGGGTTCTGCCTGCAAGCAGTTTTTCATCTTCATGTGGGTACTCGTTTTGTTAAGGCTTGGGGGGTGCGGCACCTGTGAAGCCACATCGCTCAACAGCAGGCAGCTAAGAAATAGAAATCTTGCAAAAGACACCATCTTACTCCCGATTACTGAGGAGTTTTATGGTTACACATACGTCAACCCGGGAACCAGATCAGAAACCATCTTAAGCGTAACAATACCCGGGCAGCCCTTTCGGGTGTTCACGCTTGCAACTCAAGGTCTTTAACGTGGGCTGGGTGGGGCTTCGAAGACCACCCTGAAGCCTAAAGACGAAGCTTTGATGGGCCCTAAAGACGTTTAGCCCAAAGAACTTTTGACCATAGACCCGACAGAACCTTAAACTCCAAATCTCAAGACTGAAACCCTACATAACCCGAAACCCTACACAAGCCTAAACCCGAATGCACCTTAAACCCCTAAACAACCCCAGGCTCAAAACCCTACACTTGAAACCCCGAAACCCTTAACCCTTACAGAACTCTCAGCCCCTAAAGAATCCTAAACCCCGAGCCCCAAACCCCCCAGAACCTTAAACAACCCCCAACCCCAACAAAAATACAAAAAGACCCGAAGACCTAAGCAGGAGTGGAGCACCTGGAGCGAGGACGGAGGGGTTGGAAGGAAGTTTGTCGACGCATTTTTTTGTCGGTCTACGGGCTTCCTTTAACAAGATGCTCAGTAATATCCTTTTCGATATTTGCTCCTGGATGTTCGTAGTACAGTATAACTAACCCAGAGAAGTACATATTTTCCAGTGGGTTACTGAACAGCGTAGTTTAGAGTTTTTCTTCAAGGTTTCCGATAAAGTGTTCTGTCGGGTTTAGGTGTTCTGCAGGGTCTGTGTGTTAGGATTTTGGGTTTGGGCTTTTCAGGGTTTCAGTGAGGTTACGGCTCAGGGATACTATGGCTAGGAACCCTTATGCAGCACTTATCGCAAATCCACGACAGCGAAAATTCTGAGCCATAAAAGCTCTATATATAGAGTAACCAATGCACTGTCAAAACAAGGATATTGACTCACCTAAAGGCCCAATCACACTGCCCGAATAAGGTTATGTGGTAGTACATTGGTTTGTATTCAAAAACCTTCACGATTCAGCCTTCTGATAAAACGTTTAACATAAGTTTCAAGCCTTAGGGATATAACATTAAATAAAGGGACAGATCCTCTCTTGGCTTCTCGAGCCAAACGCCCCAAGCTGAGAAAAATAAACCCTAAACCCTAACCCTCCACTCTTAAACCCACCAAAACAGATGTTAGAAAGAAAGCAGCACTGCAGGAACAACTTCTCCGCCGACTCCTGCGCTTCAACATCGATGCCTCCGGGTTCCCTGCCGGGTTGCTCTTACGGCGTTCGGTGTCTTTCAAAAGGGCTATATAGCTATACTGCATTTAGACACCTGCAAAAGTTTTACTTTAGCTGTTTGCTAGGGTTTATAGTAACCAAACTTAAAGAAGGTTTCTAAGTACCCTTAAGCCTAGTTTTGCTAGGATTATTTTGGGTTTGGGGATTAGGGTTTCAGGAAAAGGGTGTTATGGTGCTGTCAGTTTGAACCTGACAAGAACGATTGCAGAAGATTTCGAAAGCATGTCGTGGTTTAGGATTCGGATTAGGAGTGGGGCTTGGAAGTCTTATGATGTCTTGGTGTTCGGTGAGAGTTTAGGGGCGAAGGGCCCTTTACAGACGTTCATAAACAAAACAGATCAAAATAGGTAGATCGATTCATGCGTCTTTGGTGTCGATGTGATGGAGCCTGAGGAGTAGCCTTACTAATGTGTTCAGGTAACCAAAGCATGAAGCCCTCGTCAGTGAACCGGGTGCCTCGTTCAATGAAGCTTCAGTTTGCCTTGTCTCCTGTTGTGGAGGAGCGCACTAGACCGGAATCCCTTTACCCTAAACATCACCGGAGTTCTTTGAAAAAGAAGTGTCCACGGTAGGTAACAACATAGTTTCAAATTCCCCCGACTTTGAGCCCATATCAACTTAAAGCCCTTAGCCAACGCTGAAAACCCTGCGTTAGAAACTCGTATTAACCTCGTCCACCACCTGATGCTCTGGAGCCGGAGTTCTCAACTCCAACACCTTCCCGGAGTTCTCAACTCTAACACCTTCCAACACAAAAATCAATGGTGCAAAGAGCTGAGAATCTTGAAAAACGTCTTCCGTGTATACGTTGTAGCACTTTCTGGGGAAGTGTAGCAAAATGGCGAAATGAAGCCCATGGTCGCCACAGGCAGATAAGATAAACCCTGATTAAAGCGCCCAAAACCCCTAAACCGCTAAACCCTAAGCCACAAACCCCCGAACCCCTAAACTCGAAAGCCCCAAACCAAGAAAAAAAAAAACAGCCCTAAACCCCAAAAACCCCAAAGCCCCAGACCCCTACCCAACAATCACCCTCACGGCAGCCCTCATACAAAACCCTATAGACCCTTTACAGGAACCCTAAACCGGAGGAACCCCAAAGCGGTCTTGATCGATCTCCTGCTGGAAGCCGAAACGGAACGAGCCAACAGGCTAGGTTCTTTTGCCCTTTTTGATGAAACATCCGGAAAAATAATACTGGGGAACCTGGATTATTCGGCAAGGGTTCCGTCGAGGGTTCTCAAACGGGGGGTCTGAGGGTTCCGTAACATGGATAATGCAGGTTCTGAGTCATTAGTCAAGGGTTCCACTCAGGGTTCTTCAAAAGGGTTCTATGCAAGGACCTGAACAAGCACCATTCTTTAGGATTCAGCACGCCTACTTAATACACCAACCTCCTTTCCTAGTCATGTAGGCCACCGTATGAGACTGGAACTGCACCTACAGCCCAAGAGGAGCACCCAAACACAGGCCACTAAAACCTACGGACGTGTAGCCTTGGCAGGGATATTGCCGAAGAGGCTTTTGCCTAGGTGGTTTGCTGGCTCCCGGGATTTTCTTGACTTGTAGGTCTGGCGGGCATTGTGATGAAGATCTGTTGGCGGTTAGGGATGTCCAACAGTGCATGTGCTTTTGCCGCATAAGGGGAGTAAAGCTACGGAGAGAGGTAATGTTCTTCGTGAGACTTCTCGAGTGTTCGAACAACTTCAAAATCTCCCGCCTCAAACCCATCTCATGGTTGCAGAGTGATTGTTTTGGAAGTGGGTTCGGGACCCAGTCGAAGGGAAATGTTTGAGGCTGATCAGATTACGTCTTTGGTCTGCTCAACCATGTTCAGCTTCTGGGGTTTGGTTGTTGGCGGAACTTCGCGTGACACAGGGGCCGTGCAAATTGCCCATTTTGTTTTGTTGGCTCCTTATTGTAATCAAAACTTGATATACCCCAAAACCCTATTCCAATTGTTAAGGCCCTTGCATTAAGTCATCAATGCACTGGCAAAGTCAAGTGCCGCACTTGCAAGCCGTACTTGCAAGAACCCATGAAGCTTCACGTAGTAGCTGAGTGAGCACACTTTACACTTTTTGGGATAATGTGCTCTCTTATAGAACTGAAACTTTACACTTTTTGGGATAATGTGATCTCTTGTAGAACTGAAACTTTACACTTTTTGGGATAATGTGATCTCTTATATTGAGCTGAAAGTATACACTTTTTGGGGGGCTTATCAACTCAGCAGCTAGGTTCATGCAGGCTTTCGGGCTTTCCGTCCTGGCCTTTTAATGTAGGAGCCTGATTAAGAAACCTTGGGCCTTATTAGGGTTCCTTAGGGTTTAGGGTTTACGGTTTAGGGTTTAGGGTTTAGGGTTTCGGGTTGAATCCTATTTTGGTGTTATATGCCCAGGTTTCTGAATCAGGTTCCTACGTTACCACCTAGATGCCATCAAGGATCTGAAGAATAGAACCTCTAAACAAGGCCTGTCTTAGACGATCTATCAACAGGATATCTTGATGGCTAGTTGATCCTGTAAGGGGCCCGAGCAGCAGCTCTGTTTCATGCACGTCTGGAGTGTTTCTCATGAATCCATGCTAGGGCTTTGCGTTTGGATTCAAGCTGGTAGTTCGCTTTCCCGTGCTGGTGGCTTGAACTCTCCATTTAACATACCGGCTTGACGCTTTCAAGCTTTCAGTGTCATGCAGTAGTGTTCACAGCACAAGCGGCTGTTGCCTCGGTCATAAATCGCAGGCAACAGGACTGCGCCGTGTTTGTCGCTTCATTCTCAGCTTACGGTTGCCCTAAACCCTAAGCCCTGCACCCTGAACTCTAAACTCTACAACTAGGACCCAGAGTAGGCCCTTATTCCCTTTTTTAGGGTTCAGGTTCCATTAGAATCCCCTTGAAACCAAGAAGGGCACCCTTTTTCTTCCTAGGTTACTCTTAGGTCTAGACAATTGTGGTGCTTATTCTATCGTATTTAGATTCCTGAGTGGTACCCTGGTGCCCTTGTCAGTTTACGGTCCCCGTATTAACTAAAACCAAATAGTAAGAAAAGTGGTACCCCAACTATAAAGGGGCTACTCAGGATGCTAGTGGTTCTAGCTTAGAAGACAAGCCCAATATTATTGCTATGATTATGACTATGATTTCTATAATATGATTATGGTTACTATTATGATTATGATTACGGTTATGATTATGAATTATGAATACTACTATTCCTAAACCCTAAAACCCTAGCCCTAAACCCCAAAAAGCTTTCACACATGCAGGCAGCGATGCACGCCGAAGAGACTCCAATTCTTCGGCCCGCATGCCCTGCTAGGGTTTTAGGGTTTTGGGTTTTCGGGTTCAGGTTTTCGGGTTTTAGAGGTGTTTAGGTTTTTGAGATTACGGTTTAGATTCTGAGTTTTAGGGGGTTATATAGTCTTTTGGGTGCGTAAAGTTTAGGGTTGTGAGGTTTGGGTTGCAGTGTTCTGACAATTTGGGGTTTAAGGTTTAGAGTTGTCGGGTTTTGGCGCTTCGGGTTGGTCTGGGGGTTAGGTTGAAGGTGTTGGGCTTTGAGGGTTGTTCTGGGTTCCTCGAATGAAGGCCTCCATCTCGTTTTAGGATGTCGGAGATTAGGTGATTAGGGTTTATCCATAGGAGTCCATGCAAGGTCTTAGAAGGGTTTTGCGGGGTTTGAAAGCAAGATAGAATAATAGAAGATACGAGCGCGCTGCAGAATCCGGGATCGCAGACATAAAGTATCCCAATCATGCATTCGTCGAGGCATTCGGAGACGACCCGGTGACGGGGAACGTTGCTTCCTTCCACATTGCCAGCGTGCTGGGTGCCAGAGTACTCGCGGTACCAACCAAGCAGATGATGGAGACGTGACAGGACATGGTAATGATCCACCCACAGATGCCCGCGGCTGTGGCAATGACTCGTACACTTGCATACTGGTGGCACGTGCTCAGAGAATGCGTGGGGCTACACGGCAGAGGAGTAAGTGAGACTCAGCTGCGGAACATACCGGAGAGCATGTGTGAGCCGCAGCCACACAGTTTCTTTACGGCTGTTCTGCAATTGTCACTATTGGCGTTGCAGTGTAGGTTTTAAGGTACTTCCAAACCCCAAGAATAAGCAAGAAGCCAAACCCTCGAACGAAAGCACCATTTCCTGTAGGGCTACCATGGGCTGCTCAGGCTGCCAAAGCCGCATAGGATTTGCCAAACCCTGAACACGTTGCAACGACTACAATATGGGTTACGATCGGCATTGGGATAGACTAGGGGAAGATCCAGAAAGTGGATCCCTTAACGGGGGTCCTATAGATTACTACTACTACTACTACTACTACTACTACTACTACTACTACTACTACTACTACTACTACTACTTCTACCCAAAAGAGCGAACTAAAGGCCTGGCTTGCGTTGGCGCCACGGTGCTTGGCACCTTCGTCACCGTCGGCGCCATCTTCGCGATCGGCCTCTGAGCAAGTGCTCCGAAGGGGGGGGCGTTTAGGGTTCCTTTCAAGGAGTCTATAAGGGCTACTGTACATCAAGGGTTTAGGGCCTTTAGAGTTCCTTTAAAGGAGTCTATGAGGGCTACTGTATATCAAGGGTTTAGGGTTTAGGGCCTTTCGGGTTTAGGGTCCCTCTGAAGGGGTCTATTAGGGGTTACTGTAAGGGTTCCCATAATGGTGATTATAGGGCTTAAGGGGTTTAGGGTTTGGAGGTTTTGGTTTTTCAGGGGTTTAGGGGTTTCGGGTTTTAGGGTTTAGGGGGTTTAGGGTTTAGGGCTTAGGGCGAGCCAGTGCTCCTACTTGGAGGGTGGAGGGACTGAGCAAGGTTTGGGGCCTTTAGGGTGCACTATTAAGGGTTTCGGGGGTAGGGTCTTGAATAGGCTCCTACAGGGGTCTAGGGTTTGGGGGGGATCCACGATGGGGTTACTTTTGAAGGTGCTCCTACTTGAAGGGTTGGGAGACTCCAGCAAGTAGGTACTAAGTAGACTTACAAACACCCTGACTGGGATGTGAATTGGGGTTGTGAGGCTTGTAAGTCTACAAAATAGCTAATAAATAAGTCTTTCGACTCCCGAGTAGGGGGTGTTAGGGGGCCTATTACAAGGATTTTGGGTTTAGCCTGCTTTGTGGTTTCAAGGCTTGCGGTTCGATAAAGTCAGTTTTGGATTTAGGTTTCAGGGCTCGGGGTTCCATAAGGTCATTGCAGGGTTTGGAGCTACGCTTTAGCCCCCTGGCAGAACTCCACGCAGCCATACGAAACTGCGAAACCGTAACCCTATCCTAGCTCCAAGCACTCACAGTTTAGCAGTAAGTCGTTGCTTATCGACTGATCGGAATTCGAGCATTTGCTCAACGTTCGTGACGCGGCCTGGCGTAAGCCATCCGTCTTTGCATGACAACGTTATTGTCAGGATTAAGGTCTCTTGTACTTGTGTGACCATGATAACGTAGGTGTTTTTTTCTTAGACAGATTGTTACATGCCTGCCTACCTACCTGCTTAGCTACCTGAATACCTACCTACCTACCTACCTCCCTGTATGCACGCAATATTATTACATGATATAGACATAAATATGAACAGCTGTGTGTGTGTGCGAAAACGCGCATGCAAAGGTGATGCGTACATATGCGCGCCTATAAGATGCAGTAAACATGAGGCTTCACGATGGTTTCCGGGCATCCCAAGTAAGGCAGGAATCGCGCTGATGCTGAGCTGCAGGGTCCTTGCCTTCGCGTGAACCGCTGGAACCGGCCATAGGCGTTCTCAGAGAGTACACAGACACAAGCAAAACTTGGCCAGCGAGTTGTTGAGAGGGGCCACATGCGCGTTGCAACGGGAAGGTGCTTAAAAGTGGTCGTTGAAGGTTTCGGTGCTTAGATTCATGAGTCGCACCGGTGCGGTGTTTAACGGTTCCTACGGTGTCTTGATTCCTTGACTTGTGAGTTGCAAAAGGTTGTCGTCAAAGATATCTCAAAAGGAGTTGTTCACAACGCGGTTTGTGATTTGTAAGGTTCGGTGCCCAGACCCCTCACTTGTAAGAGCCTGTTGCTTGAAATGCAAAGGTCTGGTGATTTGGCATGTTAGTTTCAAGGTTCGGTGTCCAGTGTATGTGCCGCCGTCCCAGTCGGTTCAAACTCGAGCTGTTCTTACGAACACTGGAGTCTTTTGTCGCACCATGCAATGCACATGCAGCACCCACGGAATGCACATTTGCACTTACGGAATGCACGTCCGTATCCTTGGAATGCACATCCGCACGCATGGAATGCACATCCGCATCAACGCCAGCGCATGTCCGCGCCCAGAATCATTTTCGTTTTAGAGTTTAATAGGGCTGTGAAGGGAGAGCAACTGCCATCCATATTCTGTACGTGAACACTGTTGTCGTTAGCTTTTTGTCCGTGAGCCATGGACCGACTTGTTCTGCTTCTGCTTTCCTTCCTGCGCTGGAAGGTCAGTGGAAATTCATGCCTATCGTGCTTTGCTGTTTTTGGCTGCCCCGTATAGGGTGCCTGTTGATGACCTGCAAGGCAGGCTAAGTTTCAAGCCACCACGTGCCCATTCCTTAGCGAGTCTTATTAATCATTGTTGTCGCTGTGTCACGTTGCGGTTGCTACACGGCTTCGTCCTGTTGCTAGTTTGTACCTGTGGCTGCTGCGTCCAGTGGAGTTCTCAAATTAATGTGTGAGTGCATGTGCGAGTTCATGACTTGGTTATTTGTCGATGTGGCCAGGGATCTGCGTCTGGAGCACATGTCCTTCCCCCTTGGTTTTGGCCTTACGAAAACTGCAAACAGTCTTGCTCTATTTTGGTGCTGTCGCGGAGATGATGAGTCGCATCTGCGACGCAGTCCGTGTCCAGCGTCCTCGGGGAAGCCAATTGTCCTGTTGCATGTTCGCGAGGCAATGTCTCGTCGCCGGGCCATGTGATAGTCTCGGCTGCTGGCCTGCAAACGTTACTGCTGCATTTCCATATTCTCGAGGACATGGTGTCCGTAGTGCAGCCCACCTCCAAAAGTTTCAGGGAAGCCAGTTGTCAGGCAAGGTGTTTTTTGTTGGTTACATAAAAATGCACGACCATTAGGCAATTAGGCAGTTCGTATAACTCCGACGACGGATGTTCTTGTCTTAGTTTTTGTTGACGTGTGTAAGTGACTGGGGATGAGTGGAATGCGTTGGCTCCGAGGCTGGCCCCGCCCAAGTGCATCGCCAAGACAGATGTTTGTTGTTCTTGGTGTGCAAACATACGATACTCAGTTGGTTGGCAGTTCCCTGTCGAGGATCAGGCCTTGCCAAGGAGAAGGCGTGCCCAGTTTGTTGTTCATCCTTCCGTGAGCAAAAGTACGGCCCTCGAGAGCAGGTGAATCTGTTTGCCTCAGGTCTTTGTTATGTTTTGATTTGCGATCGCAAATTACAGGTGGGCATTCGTGTTAAGCGTTTGCACCATGCACGTCTCTCAGGCTGCTGAGTTTGTCGTGCTTGGCGTGGTCTATGTGTCACAAAGCTTTTGTATCGTTTTGCTGTTCCATGTTCCTCGCATGAAGGTGTGATCCTCAGCCACCGCAGTCAAAGCAGCGTGTGTCTCGCATAAACACGATGACACGATGGCAGAGATGTCAAGAAGTTCAAGCAGGGCAGGGCTTTTCTGTGTTATTAGCTGCAGCTGCGAGTACATGTCGATTCTGCTTGTGGTTGATGCGGTGACGCGCCGGTTTTCTATAGGACTCCGTGGCAGTGATGGCTAACCGGGAACACCTCGTGTGACACTTAATTGAGTTTCTGTTGCGCTTGATGCTGTTGAGCTGCTCGCCCAGTGCTGAACCCTGGCGGCTTTTGCTTGGTCGGCTTTAGTGTTCGTCGTGCCATTAACAGTTGGTCCCAACCAATTCCAGGCGAAGGTTTGGACTAAAACAGACGAGTTTTTCCGAGAATAGGGTTCGAGTAAGAATGGGCACAGGATGCCATACTGGTATCATGAGTCCCCCTAATCCAGGAACCTTGTCTTTTCTGAGTAAGTGAGCATATGAGTTCGCCGGCCTTTGAGAGATAGCCCTAAGCCCTTCCCAGTCCAGAAAGTAGATCCCTTAATGGGGGCTCCTATAACGGACCCTTGAGTAGTTTGGGGTCCGAAATTAGCGGATCTGCTTTTCAGATCCTCCGCCGGGGGTCTCGGTAACCATTCCTGAGCCCGAAGCCCCCAAGAATAGCTTAGCAATATTATTGAGTAACACACTATTCTAGTGGCACACAAAGCTGTAGCATATTGCGGCTTCGGTCCTCTCCTGTTCCCGGGCCCTTGTGCCCTTGTGCCCTTGTGCCCTTGTGCCCTTGCGCCCTTGCGCCCTTGTGCCCTTGTGCCCTTGTGCCCTTGTGCCCTTGTGCCCTTGTGCCCTGTGCCCTTGTGCCCTTGTGCCCTTGTGCCCTGGTGTCCTTGTGCCCTTGTGCCCTGGTGTCCTTGTGCACTGGCATCGGGCTTGTCAAGCTGATATGAAGTTTCGAACGCCTCGCTTTCGTTCCTGTTCTTTTGCTGATGATGCCAGGATGCTTAGAGCATGTGTATTTATGTTTATATGTGTACATGAATATATTTACCTTTATATGTATGTGTATATAAGTATGTTTGTATGTATGTTTATATATTTATATGTTTACATGTGTACATGTATGTACATGTATATGTGTACATGTATATATATATATATATATATATGTATATATGGAGCGTGGGGGCAGCACCTCACAGTTGCGCGGTGCGTCGGTGCACCGCATGCAGCTCGGTTGCGCCGATGCGCCAGCCAGTGCGCCGTTTCGCCGCTGGAACACGGATGCGCCGATGTACCGGTGCGCCGGTGCGCCGACCCACCACATGGATGCGCCGGTGCGCCGACGCCGGTTGCACCGCTTGCGCCAACTGCGCAGCTTGTGGAGCCTTGGACTGATGGGGCGCCCCTGATTTTAAAATCAGAACTCTTACCACCCTTGAACTCCGAGGATGGAGCCTTGGACTGATATGGCGCCCCTGATTTTAAAATCAAAACTCTCACCACCCCTTGAACTCCGAGGATGGAGCCTTGGACTGACGGGGCGCCCTTGATTTTGAAAAAACAGAACTCTTACCACCCTTGAACTCCGAGGATGGAGCCTCGGACTGATACGGCGGTCCTGCCTTTAGAAGCAGAAGTCTTATCACCTTTGAACACCCCTGATTTTAAAATCAGAACTCTTATCACCATTGACCTCCGAGGATGGAGCCTGGGACTGATGGGACCCCCTGGGTTGAAAATGAGGATGGAGCCTGGGACTGATGGAGCGCCCCTGGCTTGAAAATAAAAACTCTAATCACCCTTGAACTCCGAGGATGAAGCCCTGGCATGATGGGGCATCCCTGATTTCAATATCAGAAGTCTTATCGCCTTTGAACTCCGAGGATGGAGCCTTGGACTGATGGGGTGCCCCTGATTTTAAAATC